GCGGTCCCCCATTACCTCCTTCTACCCGGTTCCCACCCCTCCCCAGGCCTCGCCACCCTACTGTCTGTGTCCATAGGTAAGATCTTTGGTTAATCTGAAGGTTACCTGTATGTAAATGCAGTATTGGTAACGAGATCCTCTCTGCATTTGTGTCTCTTGATTCTGTGAGCCTGTAAGAGCTGATGTTATGGTGCTATTGCTAAAATTTCCCATTTTCCTGTAGCCTCATAGAGACAAATATTATCTCACATACCTTCTCCTTACTCTTGCCATCATCCAGATTTTAGAATTGGACATCTGATGTGTAAGTATGCTCAGGTCCTCTTAACCAGCAGCTGGATTTATGGTGAAGTGCAGTGTGGAGGGGCCAGTACTTCACCACCTTCTGTTTGCATTTCAGGCTAATGCTGATGTCCCTGTACAACGTGAGCCTCAATTTGAAAGGCTTGAAGTACATCAGTGAGAGCCCAGGGTTCATCCCTTTGCTGTGGTGGCTTCTGAGTGGTAAGGAAGGGATGACCTACACGTCTTCCCATACAGCTTACATACTTTTCCTCTGTTGCTGAGGGAGGTTGTCACATATTAGAAATTAGGATCAGCTGTCCCAAGGTATTACCATTTCTTGAAAAGAAGATTTCAAATGATGGGAAACTCAGTGGTGTGCCAAGCTATTTTTAGTTCAGTTTCTGAAGTATTGCTTGCAATTTAGTTATGATTCTGTGACACAAAGAAAAATTATGAAGCAGTTGGTAGATGTCATTGATCTGTTCCTTCCTCTGAGAACAGTCCAGCACTATAGGTGTCTGTGGCTCTGAATATGAAGTAAAGAAGTCCTAGTGTTAAAGGAATATGGGGAAGAGGAAATCTGAAAGATACTACAACTCTGAAGGTGTTACACACACACACACACACACACACACACACACACACACACACACACTGAGTGGCCAGATTATTATGACCACCTGACGTTTGTAGGCAAATTAGCTATAATTTCGTGCTGAAGTTGCTAGAGGGCCAGACCATTATAAATAAGGAAGCAGGTTGTTTACTATGACAATAGAAGTGATTTTTTTTCTGAAGATATGGGTAAACAATGTGATCTAACAGCCTTTGAACGTGGGATACACACACACACCCACACACACACACACACACACACACTAGACAAATAAAACAGC